AAAATATGGATCATATGCCTGTTTCACACAGCTTAACCACAGTACTGAGCACAGAGAGCCCAGGATCTTCAAAGGGCCATTAAAGATGCTGGTATTATTGCTCAAAAATTGCTTTGAAGGTGAAGACACCATGGAAGTATTACTAAAAAATATTGCGTCAGTGAAGTGTAATTATTTTCCACTGTGACTGGAAATCTAGCCTCGTTTTGAAGCCATGACAGATAGTAGGGAATAGTCCTGTACTGAAACTTAAATGTTTACATGATTACCAATGTGGTCTTACCAAACCACATTCATTTTTTTCTGAGCAGTTTGCATACTTTTTTGCCAGCAACCTCTATGATCAGTGACTTCTGAAAACTCTGAACTCCATTCTTTCAGCACAAGTAGCAGTACATGAACCTGTTGAAAACAGTAAGATAGACAGATACCAATGAAGAGCAAAGCACAAGATTAAGCCTTGCAAAGAAAATTAGGAATCTACTCTTTAGGCTGCCTCAAATTACTCAGAAAAAAAATCAATTGTAAAAGTATAAAAAATAAACAGCAGGATTGCTGTCTCTGAAAGGCCTCGGGACATACAGGGATAGATAAAAATCACTGAAGCACAGTCTAGGATCTTAGAAATGCCAAAAATGCGTTTGAAACCAGATCAGTTGCAAACATCCTGCCTTGTTTCTGGTGTGGCAGTGCACCCAAAGGCAAATAAAGGGAAGTCTCGTGAGCAGGCGCCAAGCAGGGATTTGGTTGATTTGGGTCAGTTCCATGCTTCTGCCACACATCTTCCTTAACCTTGGGCAAGCAGATTAATTGCTCTGGGCCTCAATTTTCTGCAGTAAAATAGTGTCAGCAATAAGAGCAACATGGATTCTAAGGTAATTTCATCCGTATTTCACTCACAATAGAGCCTACAATTTCTGATGTAGCTGGTACATGACTTTTAAATGGCCATACAGTCTTGTCCCCCTGTCACCCTTTATGTGGAAGCTCTCCCTTTACAGCATCTTTTCTGTACACCTTGTGCAGCAGACACTGCGGCACAGCAGCCATAAAACAATGGGAGCCATAATTTCTTTGAACTATGGGTCAAACTTGTTGTTAGCCAAGTCTGTAAGAACTCATATAATAAATTACATATGTCTCTTTATCAGCAGGATCATAAAATAAAACTTTACAACCCTTCTGAAGGTCATGGCTCTGCAACAAACAGTAAGACAAAACAATAAATTAACCCCCTAGACCACCATTTTTGTGGCTTTAGCAGCTTTGGTTAGGTCTGAGGAAATTAGAACTCTGTCAATCTTTATACAAAGCCTTATTTCTCCTTTGGACCCATCTCTCATTTGTCCCTAAGTGTAAGATAAAGGCTAAAACAACAGTCATAATGGCTGTTACTGGTTTCAGCAACAGCAAAGCCACGTTTATCTCTATACACACATTTAATGGAAACAATGACAAAAGTGTTTCTTGGCAAATTAGCCCCCCTCAACCCCTGAGGAAGAACACATCTATAAGCTATTCCCAAAACAATCAATATTAGTCCAGCAAGTGAAACTGTACTTTACGTTTCCCATCAAAGTCTTGGCATTTCCTCAAAGAACTGATGCCTTATAAATTGCAACTACTACCAAATAAACCAGAGAGAGAACTGCTGAGTTGGGCACCTTGCTGCGTGTTTCCCTCAGGTCTGGGGGCCTGAATGCAGGTAATTCAGCTAAAATCCCCGTGCTGGCCTGCTGATGTTTAAACATTTGGCCCATGTACCTTTTTGTCTCTGCTTGTACAGAAGGTACAACAGCCCAGGATCTGTGCATTGCCACAGTATCACAACGTAAACCATAAAGGAGAGAACAGCAATCTCTACTCCTAGCTTCTGAGTGTGCATTTGCTCTGCTGTGGATTTAAAAATGAGAAGACTGGAACAGGGTGTTAGTTCTGCAGGTATTATTTTTTCAATTAAAAATAAGAGTACTTTGGGATACTTTGCTCTTACACATTAAAAATTTAAGTGAAGGGATTATCTGATATTCTTGAAGTGAAAAAAAACCAGATGTTTTCCTCTAAACACTCTTCTGAGAGGCTGGCACTTAGTTATGCAAAGTTTATGGTATAGCTCTTTTATCTCCCATCACTCTGTTCTGATATTGCAAAGCTACCGATGCAGTAATCAATGACACTCATTCTTTCCTCTGAAGCTCAGTGAGGACAAACTTGAAAAGAGGCAAGCACGGGCTGCTAAGTAACTGAAACTTCAACAAATACTTACAAAATGATGCTAGCAGAGACAGTGCTGGTCACCTGGGCTTGAGAGATGACTGCTTACAGCTCTGAAAACACCCCAGCACTAAAAACACACTGTGCACTGCACGGTCAGCCTAAGAGGTGATTCCTGTCTGCAGAGAGTAACAGCTGCTTATTTGAAGAAGTGTCACAGTTTTTATCTGGCTTCAGTCACTGTCAGGGTGCAGACTCTAAGAGAAGATGTAGCAAGGAAAGCTGCTTAAATTAAGAAAATCTTGGTGCATTTCCCGCTTACATGCCCAAGAGAAATGACCTCCCTGTCCTCCAGATTAACTTCCGTTTCATTCTAGAAGGGAGATTCAAAGGAAATACATGACATTCCCCATGGAAATCCCAGAAAAAACATGTTGCATTCCTTGGCAATACCAGTCCATGTTATATATACATAGCACGAGGTGAACAATGCCAGCCTGGAGGGAAACAGTGGCTCCCACCCTTGCTGGCTACCCATAAATTAAGTTTCTCACAAGAATGCCAATCTCAATATTAACCCTGAGCAGTAGCACAAGGCAATGGGCCTCACCCTGTTCTCTCTCTCACCACTAGCAAAACCAGCATATGTTGAAGGCTGCTACCAAGACTAGACAACCTTTGCTTCCCCTTCTGAGCCATCTGGTTACCTCTCTTGGGACAACCCTGCTCAGCTCCTGCTTCATCTGCCAAATTACAGGGGTAGTTTTTTTTAGCTTTCAGACCCAAAGGCAATGTCCCTTTAGTTCACTGGATACCCAGCTCATCAAGCACCTTGAAATGAACCAGGACATGTGGAAGACTGGGGAGACTGCTCCTCCTGGACACCTAGTTGGAAACACACAAAAAACCACTCACAGTGTATCCTTGTTACTTCTTTCTTACTTACATTTACCTATCTGCAAATCAAAGTTTCAACCTTTACCTTCAGTCTTGCAACAACCTCTGAAATGGGCAAAGAATGAAATATGGATTAGACCAGTTGTTTGTTCTTGCCCTGTCACCCTGACAGCCACCCTGCAAACCTGTCTGAAGCAGTTGTGTCCTTCCCTGTAAATTGTGACTCACGTCACATTAACCTAGAACTTTCTGACACCTTCCATTGTCTTCCTTTTTACATCTTGTTTTTCACCTGTCACTGTTTAGCCCTGCCTTGCCCATCAGATCTGGTATCTCAGAACAGGATCAACAACCTCCTGTTGATGCCAAAACCAACAGAGGCAGCCCAGAGCTGCTGTTGGGGATTGACAGCAGAGTGGACAGAAGATGTTTTGCCATCACCCCACTCTATTCTCAGAAGATGGGCTTCCAGTTCAGGCACTTTCATTTACAGCAACTGTGACAGAATCAGTGACTAAGGACCTTAAGAAGGACACCTGCTCATTCCAAGTAATTTAGGGAACATGCTATGATGGGGCTGCTTGGCAGCTGTACTCTTTCCACATCTTTCTGCAGAGAAGTAATTCCAAAACATAAAGGCCAGCAGTAACACTTAACATACTAAAGGAGAGATGGTCCAAATGCAGGAAGATACTTCAGTGTCTGATATGGGAACTTCTCAGTGGTTTCAAAAGGAAGGCAGGTGCTCAAACTGTTTTGTGGAACCAGACTTGACAACTCAGGGCTGTACTGGGAAATGCAAACCAGCAAACGCACAATTAACACCTGCCTAATCAAGTGGATGAAGGAGACATGAAAAAATCTTGATATGCAGGAGATGTCTCAATGCACAGAAGAAGCCCCCCCAAAGTAATGACCTCATGGTGATGTTGCTTGCATGATCACAACAGGTAAAAACCCCGGCCATGGAGCACACCGAGACATGGCAGGTGCCACATGACATAAACAGGTATTTTTAGATGCTGCAGCTGCAGTATAACACAGCCTTACCAGAGAGAACTGTGACTGCAATATTACCAGTACAGTGCTAGTTGATTACAATTTTTCAGTCTCTTGCATCTAATTGGAAAAGACCTTTTCAGGGCTGTCCTGCAGCTACTTCTCATAGCGTGTGCCCATATACACGGGGTTCATCAGCAGTAAGGCCACTACCTTGCTTTTCCTCTTTACATACATGGTTTATGCTCCAGCCATAGTGGGCTCCAGAGCAGCAAGCACTATGCAAATGACAATTTGCTGGATTTTTTTTGCTGTGATCATTTGGAAGGGAAGAAGGATGCTGGAAACCCTCAGTTCAAGTCCCAAATAAATCACTGGTTTCCAATTGCCTCAGGCAAATCACTCGCTCTTCCCATAATACTGTCTTCGAAACAGAAATGAGTATTTCTTTACCTGGCAGAGAAGCGGAGAGCATAAACTCATTAGAGACTGCCAAGGAGTTCAGATCCTATAGTGATAAGCAATTACTTAATACACAGCAATGCTTGGGAGCATTTGTTGGTTGTTTCACAATACAGACCAAACTGCTTGGTCCAACGAGCACGTGAGAGATTTTCTCAATAACAACAGCAGAAAGGCAAAGCAACAAAACCCCACCATGAACTGCAAGTTGGCTCTGAAGAGATGGATGGATGAATGAACTCTCATCAAACTGAACATTTCTGTCTGATATGAATATGTGCTTTCTTGGAGACAGAAAACAGATCCCTTCTGCAAAAGTTGTGCAACTAATTTGGTTATACAGAAAATGAAACCTCTACCAGACACTGAAGGAAACTCTCTCATGCTGAGAGCTACAGTTTTATAACAGAAGAAGAAACCATACAGAGTTATAAAACAACCCAGTGTACATCTTTATTGATGATTCACAAAATCAAACATCATTCAACAAACTCACTCCAGCAATTCCAGTATCACATTGTTCCTTGCTACGTTTGGCTGATTTTTCCAAGGTAAACAATATTTGCTTTTAACTCGGAGTGGACAGAATCATGCTTTACAGTAGCCATTTTCTGACTGTAGCAGTAGCAAGTGTATCACAGCCATGACAATATTTTAGGTCACACTTCCTTCTTAATATTTCACATAAAACCCCCTGCTACCTTCAGTGCTTGTTCAGTACTTCCATGGCATGTACTAGTCTCATGAGAATCATAACCCTTTAGTTAAGTGGGATTTATTAATTCTCCAAAAGTGCACTGAAGACATGAGCTGCTATCAAATTAACTGCCAGTATCCTTCCATAATCTCACCAGAACATATATTATTTTCAATAACCCAGTATTAAATTGACCAAGAGTTTCATTGATATAAAAATTACCTTGATTTCGCACTGAAACACACTCGGTCATATCGTGGTATGTTACATACACACAGTTACACCAGTGGTTTTCTCCACATGAGTCAACTGCTGAGCTACAGGAGACAGGAGTGAGAAAACCTGGGGAAAGGAATAACATCTTTGATATTGTCAACTCCCAAGATGTACTGCAGGTAGCGTTCAAACCCCATTCCGAAGCCTCCATGAGGAACTGATCCAAATTTTCGGAGGTCTAGATACCTGTAATTTAAACAGACAGTTACATTTGCAGCACAGTAATGCTGACATTATTAAAGTGAGCTTTTCATGTAGGGTTTTGCTTTCCATCTTAATTACTTCCCTTTGACCCTAACCACTGTGATTTCTGAGTTGGTCAGGGGTATGTCAGAATTGTATTAGCAGAAACCCCAAGTTTAAACCCATTCAAACCAGCATAGCTATGCTTTGCCAATACACTACAGCATGTTTTTTAGGAGCAAAAACATATTTGGGTAATGAAGAACAGCTTGAGTACCATACCTCTGCTCATATTGGAAACACCTTTGTATTTTTAGTACCTAAAATATTCCTAGCAGAGGCAAAAACCCAGGTTCCTACAGAGTCACAAAGCACTTCCACTGCTGGAGGTGATGCTCTCTGCTTGGGCTTGTCTAGCCTTTGCCATGTTGGTGTGGAAATTTGTCCTGCAAATTCTTTCAATTTCTGTTTGCTTTTCAATAGCCTAAGTAATTTAATTTCCAGTAATTTCTTTAGAAGCTTAAATAGGTCTTGCTGTCTGTCTACTCAACATTCCTTCATTTTTTTTTTCTTTTAAGGTAATTACAATGGCTTTTTGCTACTTTTTCCCTAATCACTCTTACGGACTGATTCATTTATTTCTATAGTAAGCCAGAAAAAAACACCTTGAACATATCTTCTCTAAAAATGAGATCTGGAACAAGATATTTTATTTTGCAGAACAGCACCTGTTGTGCACAGAAAACTCAGAAAATGTGTGGAAGCAGATACTATGAGTATATGGGTGTCAAGAAGATTATGATGGCTCTTCTATAGTTACTCATTTCCCAGCTGGACTGTGGCTGATGTGATACTGTATTTGCAACTATAAATTGTCACCAACAGTTTTATTTTAATAGAAGTGAAAAACATCTCAGTGCTTCTATTGATTTGTGGGGCCACTTCTGAGGTTGCTGAGGGCACCAAGTTATTCTTCTTTATACAAATGCACTAGTAGGGGATTGAGTGATTCCAGATGTATTACTTGCTTCTAATCTTGGTGTATGAATATTTCATCATCCCACTTAAAAAAAAATCAAGTGCACTTAAATATAAATGCATATGTTTTAGTACTTATGCAGTGGAGTAGAGGGGGGCAGAACACTGTGAAAGAAATTAAGATTGGATTGATTGCAATAAATTGCTTCCCAAGTTTTACATACTGTTAATGAACTGCAAGGAAATATGATATTTGTGCGTATATGTACTTATGTATGTATAAACATGTAAAATATATGTTATGTATATTTGAGTGTAGTTGTTTGGACATCCGATCTTCCTTGGCTTGAAGACTGTATTTTAACAGAATGAAGATAAAGTAATGCCCATGATCACCCTTACTTGCAAAATAAGAGAACTCTCCCACAAATTCTATAGCTGCAAGATTGCCCTGTCACTCAGTTTGACAGTATGCCTTTCATGCCATGAAACATTTTTTTCCCTTACAGCTCATTAGCAGTAGTTAAAATTTGGGAAACCATTTATTACACTCAATCCAATATTCAGTTCCCCCCCCCCAGTGTTTTTCCTTTCCTCTCCCCTCCACTGCACAAACAGCAAAAGGAGAAGCAGAGCTTACTCCTCCCTTGTAGCACTGACACTCAAAGTGCAGTTTGCAAGTTGAACAGCAGGCCCAAGAGTGGGACATGTTTTCTGATGACTGGGACCCATGTGCTTTTCTCTCTGTGCTGCTGAGTGTTAGCTTGGCTTGCTAAGGCTTGGTGTAGGCACCCCACATGTTGTGATGAGGATTATGCTCAGGATAAAACCACGTATGCTGTGCAACAGCATGGTGGTCTTCATCTCTATCCACTTTACACAGACTGCATTAAGAAGACCTTGAGTCTCTGCAAATACCCCGAATGCTCCTGGGGAGCTCTGATGTGCAGCTTTACAAGCGTTTGCAAGGAAGTGATGGGCAGACCTGATGCTGAGGGTGGTGACTCATGAAACAGGAAAGATCTCATAAATGTGAAGGATAGGGGTGCTGCCCATGGCAGATCAGTCTGACCCAACTCAGGTGTTCTGAGCAGAACTGCCAAAGCAGCTGGTAACGACTTTAGCTGTAGCCAAGAATACAAGTAACAGCACAAACTTTTCTGATGATGTCTGAAAGTGCATCAGCCTTTGCAAAGGCAGTTGAGACTAAGCCCAGCATCTTCTCTCCCTTTTTGCTGGCAACAGAGTTTATAAAGTCATTGTAAGAAGATGAAATAACTCAGCTACTTCCAGATGAACAATAATAATAAATTCTACCCTTGCTTATCCAAGACTTTGATCTGTAGATCTCAAAGCACTTTGAGAAGCCATTTTGGCAAAAGGAGCGAAACAAAACCCATCAAAGTTAATGTAAAAAGTCCATTGAATTAAATGTGCTGAGGATCAAGACTGTGAATCCCTTCTGATGACTGTGCATAGAGGAAGCAGAAGAATTGAGAAATTTTCCATTCTTCACAGATGAAAGAAAAAGTAACTGCCTACAGATGAAGAGAAAAATCCCTTTAGGCTGGAAAATGCTCCCTGAGGTTTTCCTACATTCAGTAGTGTACAGACATTGGATGATTCTCACCTCAAAAAGAGTCATGAACTAGTCTAGCTGTTTTTGCCAGTAGCTCATACTTAAGAGGTAAGCTGAGCACTCTATTGGCAACTGTTGGACTGTGTAGCATTATTCCACAGGAGAAGTAAGTTTCTGCAACCCCAGCTAGCCCAGGTGTTCCTGCTCTAGACCTGAGCACTGGTAGGTCTTCAGAGGTTTGAGTCCTGCTAAAGTGTGTGCTGTAACAACATCCGCCAGCAATGAATTCCAGGAACTCATTATGTGCCATGTTAGAACATTTCCATTCATCCTTTTAAAGATTTATATTCTCTTATCATCATTGTGAGCTCCCTGTGTTGCACAGTAAGGCACTATGAAGAGCAGTGCTCTCCTATTGACCATTCATAAACAGAATGTGTCCTTTTCAGTCTCTTCAAAACAAATATAATCTCAACCTTTTATGCAATCCCCTTGCTATGCTGAAGGTTCTGTGGCCAGTTTGAATAAAATAAGGCTGAAAGAACAAAGATACTATAGTCTATGAAAGTAGTATTCTACTGGGTGTGTGTGCAAGAAAACCCCCCTGGCTTTCTGCCTGCCTGTCTGCCCCAGCACAGCACTCCAATTTCTTCCCAAAAGAGGAGTAATAGGACCAGGTGGCTGCCAAGGACAGTGATGAGCTACATGTTTTCACTGGGCTCTGAAGAAGGTTAAACGATGAGGTGAGTGTAGTCACTGGCCATGGGCTCCAAGTGGCTCACCAGTGCTACTTTTCCCTAAGCCCAACTCCTACTTTTTACCCTGCTACACAAGAACCCAACAGAACACTCTGACATTCAAGTTTCAAAGATTAGCGTAAGTTACAGAAGGGTACCTGGACTGTAAAGGGCTCAGTATGAGACAACTGTCTCCACTGAAGCACATGAAGATAATGAGAGTAAGGAAGCAGTGCCTTACATGTAGGAAGACTGTCTGAAACACTGCTCACGCTCATGGTGAAGGGAACATATTGTTCATTACAAAGTACCTTTGTTACTTTTAAGATGGCACTTGGAGGCTGCAAACAGGATCAAGTCCCCTGTTTACAAGGCAATATACTTAATACTCCCTGGTCACAGAGAAATCAATGAACTCCCAGGGTACCCTCATCACTCAACTTTCCCACTTCATTTCCACAGACCTCTCAGTTTAGCCAAAATAATAATCTACAGCTCTGGGCTATTTTCCATCTACAATTCAAAGGAAAAAGTGTGAAAATAAGATAAAATAACTACAAAATCAAGTGAAATACTACTTTTCAACTTATATTATGTATGGAAAGAAACTTGCCTAACAGGAAAGATGTAGTGTACCGAAGAAGACTTATAGAGTTTGACCATGTCACTTTATCTGTCTTTTGAAAAACTTCCTAAAAGGTAGGAATGGCAAGAAGCAGAGCAGTATATTAGATCATCAGTTGCCTCTGCCTTACGATTCACCCACAAACAAGGCAATCCTGAAACTGTTCTAGAAACAGTCAGACCCACAATATCCTCTTGCTTAGTGGGGGGTAGAAAACAGTGAATCAGAATCATATATGGCAATGGTTAAGGAACTTGAAAGGAGATCATATTCAAAAGTCAGCAAATATTATATTTAAAAAGGAATGACTCAACTATTCTTCCAGGAGTTTGTGAGCCAGTTTTGGAGACTCAATTCAATCACTAAATTGGAGGAGATTAATTTTAGTCTCTCCTGCCACCTCCACTGGAAAGATGGATGCTGGCAAGGCACCTACCTGTATTCTGGCAGATTTTGGACTGCAGTCCAGAAGCATCCAGAATAACTGCTATCCTGCACCTTCCTAGGACACCAGACCCTGCTATGGCAGGGGGTAACAACAGCTTTAATCTTCTTCAGGAAGTTACATTGTCTGTGATGGGGTGGAGGGAATAAAGGAGAAAAGAGTCTCCAAAACACGATTACAGCAGGAAGAGTTTCCAGAATGTGATTGTTACATATCACATGAAAATGCAAATGAGTGAAAGGCAATGTCCTCTTTTTTTTTTTTTTTTTTGCATGAAGCATGAGGCAGGGCTGCACTATCTTAGTAGCGTTGGAAGGCTCTGCAATTGAACACCAGACTTCCTTGGGCTTTATCTCAGCATCTAACCACACAACTTATCACCCTGTTCAGGATAATCCCTCACTCTGATAAAGGGATATGGTGTATTCTGGGCCACAAATACAACAACAAAGGAAGAAATTAAATTCACCCTGTTTGCACATGGATGATGTGAAGGTCTGCCATACACTGGGCTGTTCCTCAGTGATTTCATGTTGTGGGAAGATGAGAGTGAAGAACCCATACTTTGGTTTTCTTCAAGGCAGCCTTCCTAATGATCAATCCAAATACTGCAGAATACTTGAAAATACTCTTCTAAATTTAAAATTCTCTGCACTACCACTCTCACAGTAGCTGTGATGAAGTACATACCAAGAAACACTAAGAACCTTCTGTCGTTTTAATGGGTTAAACTGTTAATTCAAAGGTTGATCTGTCTCCTTAGGAGGACAGTTTTAATTGCTTTAACTGCTTTGTTAAAGAAGATTTTTCGACCCAACTGCCCTGTCAATTGCAAAGGGAGTTATTCATAGACCTCTTAAAGGTCACAAATTGCTGTGGTTCTGTAACCTGTTTATCTTCTGCATAGTGGTCAGAATTTACCCAGCTTCCAACACAGCCTAATGATTTAACATCAAAAATCATTATGGGTTGTAAATTAATCCACCCCATACAATTCTGAGAGGAATAACCTGTGCTGTGAATGGACAAATTGGAGGCACAAACTAAGTAGCATTAGATTAACCTTTGTTTAAATGAATTGGCTATTTCATTTAGACTGTGATGACAGGGCAACAGGGCCAAAAAATTGTTTCCTCAGAACCAAACCAAAACAAACTAAAACAAACAAACAAACAAAACTCTAGTTGCTTAAATAAGCCTCAAAAGAATAAAAAGAGCTTGCATAACAAGGTGGCATCTTACCATTGATAGGCATCTGTGAGTCCTAATCTGTGAAACAAAAAGAAAATCCCTTGTAAGTAAAGGAACAGAGTTATTCTGCACAAGCAGCACTTGCTTAGAAGAGCATGCTACTAAAAAAGGGAAAATCTGGTGAACTATTGTATGAAGCATGCATAAGAAGACAAGAATCCTGTTTCTTCTCTCTAAGGTTATGCTGGTTCTGCAGGAAATAGAATTTAAAGGTCTACAGTATTTAGACTTAACAAAACCAAATCCTGAGGACTGAAAATTGGAAAAAAAAACATGTGAAAGGAGGTGTGATTTACAAAAGACACACCCCATTTGTACCTTGAAATCCTTTCTATGACTTTCCTGACAAACAAGAAAGTCTGGCTTCGAACTCCACATGGACCCTTCTCCTCCTGAGGACTGCGGACTCAGATACTGGCAAAAAGTTTTGACTGAAAAAGTGCAGCAGGCAACATTGTACTTTACATGAGTTGAAGCATGCCTGCTTCAGAGAGCTTACAGGGAGAGTAGCAGGAAGCACAGGGAATATAATCATCCTACACTAACAACTGAGAATTAATGTTCTGGTGATTTTAATTGCCTGGTGCCTTTTGGATTCATTATGCTGAAGTAGATTTTGCTCTTCCCCACTGACTAGATCTATCTGTGAGAGCATGTGGCTGATTTAAGCAACAAATTAATTCCCAATGTGCAAATGGTGTTACTCTGGGATTAATCTTCCTCCAACATGGCTTTGCACCAGTGTATGACTGGCCCAAACAAAAGTGTTCAAGTGCTGGATGGGACTTTGCACAACTTGATCTCATGGAAGGTGTCCTTGCTCATGGCAGCAGGGCTGGAACTAGATGGTCTTTAAGGTACCTTCCAACCCAAACCATTCTCTGATTCTACAAAACTTTTGAACAATCAAATAGGATCCAGAGAACAACTGAGAATTACCCAATGTATAATGTCAATTATTAACTAAAAAGCAGCTTTGATATTCTGACATTGAAGTTAGCCTAAAGTTACCAAGGCAGACTAAGGCAGCAGGGAAAGAGGAGCCCCTGTGACACAGTACAGGTCTTGAGCAGTTCCAGTGAAGCTTCCCATGAAACTATCAGCAAAGAGCCATATTCTCTGAAATCAGGCCAGTCACTGAAGCCAGCTGCATCACAACTGGCAAAGCTTCTGACCAAAAATGCAATTCCTCAGTTACACAACATGATGACAGATATCTAAGTTCTGTATATGTGACAACTTCCACCTTCATAATCCACTTTCAGCCACAAAAACTGAAGAAAAGGATGAAGTGTCCCACAGCAGACCCTGCACCAGACAGTTGCAGCAGAGCTGAGGCACTCTACTGCCCTGGTCTCTTAGCACAAAGAAAACTTTTCTTCTTTGATGAGCTAAAACAGAGGCCCTTTGCACACCTATGACAGAAACACAAGAACTTCTTCACCAGTTTGCAGTCACCTACTCAGATAAACAGATATCACAAAGACAAAAATAGGCTTGTTTTAAATACTATTAGCTGCCTTCCGCTCCTCTGTCTTACCAACCAGAGAGCTGCTGAAACACTCTCCTGCTCAGGCTAGTCTCCTGGCATCTGTGGATTTTCCATACCTCTGTAAGCGTGATTCGAGGAAGGGCAGTCGCTCCTCTCTCAAGCTGCCTCCACACAACTCCCCTACTCCTGGTACAAGGAGATCAACAGCTGCAACCTTCAAAGAAAGAAAACTAATTGAAGTCATGCCACATAGCCACACAGTGATTAGCAGAAGAAGTTAACATTGATGTGTTTTTGTAAAACCCTACTGTAATTCTTCCAGAGTTCAGGGCACTTAGGTAAGGATTTGCACATACTTGAAAAGTGTTTTGTTGTCAGAAGGCTGGGAGGAAATTTTTCAAGGATAAACATCAGAAATTTACAGTAAACCTAAATGACAGCAGTGATGTCTCAGAAGGAGGACATCTACAGCAAGTGGTTTGAACTGAATCTCACCAAGTTCCTCTGGTGACAACCTGTGTGAGGTTATAAAGAAGCCAACAGCAGCTCAGAGAACAGCAAAGACATGTGGGCAAGCTTTATGAAGACCCGATTCCCTACTCTGATGCTGTTGCTTGTGTTCAGCCCTATCTATCCCCATTCCTATAACCAGTTCTAATGGATATGGTAGCAATGGCATGGATCATGTGCTGCATCCAAGTGTTATCACTTCGGCTGTTAGCTTTGGGCTCTGTCTTCCCTAGTTTGTCTTCTAGGGTTATTTTTCTTATCCCACAGCTGAAATGTTGCTGGAATTAAAGCCACTGAAGACACAGTGGTGCATGGTGGTGTTGTTGCTCTTTTTAGTAGAAGCAGTACTTCAGGTTGTCTTAATTCAGTTGAGCAATCACAATTTCAAAGTATGAGACTTGATAAAGAGCTTATTTCTTCTGCCCATCTGCTATTTGAACATTACATGGATGGATGACAAGAGAATCACAGACTACTTGGAGCCATCCAATTCTAGGCCTTTCACTTAATAGTACAGAAGTTTATCAGGAAAAGAAATAAACTATGACAAACTTGTCTTAAGGCAATTGAGCAAAAAGTTAGCACTTCCCCCAATCCCTGAATTTTTCCTCCTCATGTTTTTCCCACTTTGGGTATTTTTTCCTACAACAGGAAAAAAAAATGGACAGGATCACCTGATGGTCACATCTTATCTTGAATTTCTTGGGGACAGGCCCAGCAGATGATGTCTATCAGCAGGCCAAGACATGGTCCTGGAAAAATAAGTGGTGAGGTGTGACCCATGGACTCACTGTGTGTTGAGGTCCGTCTTCATTGTCCCGCATGTAGAAAGGTTTGAGCTCGTACGGGTAGTTAACCACAAACACAGGAACCTCCCCACAGTGCTTCACCAGGTACTTCTCATGTTCTGTTTGGAGGTCACAGCCCCACTGTAAGGACAGCAAAAGGGGCCTGGGAATCTGTTTTGGTACCTCTTGCCCATGGCAAGAGACCCAGCAAAATCCCTGCACATAGAAAGATGTGCTGCTTTGAATAACATGAAACCAAGCAAAGCCACTTCTCATACAGGTCACTGGGAAGTAGACAGCTTCACAAGTGTTCAGGCAGAGCAAAGCATGTAAAATAATATGATTTAACTTAACAGAACAGGGCCAGATAGTTCCTGCATCAAGCCCAAGCATCTGGTATCAAATCAGAAAACCCAAAACAAGCAAAAAAAATCCCAAACCCAAAACCAAACCCCAACCCCAAACCACACACTGCATATCTAAAGGAAAACAGGCACCTCTCCAAAGCCAGCTTACTTGACCCAGCAAACCAGCCTTATTTTAGTATTACCTCAGGTGTACAGAAAGCAGCTTTCCTAGGCTAATTACTCTCTTCCCTGCTGTGTCCTGTTACATGCTACATTAATTCTCACTTAAGAAAACCTAGCACCCTATTAACTAATTTTTTGTTACCAGAAACCTTGGACATTTGCAATGCCCTTCACTTTTCCTTTTTTCCAGGGATGTTAAAAATCTTGTGGCTTTTGTCTTGAGACCTCCAGTCCATTTATAGGACATGCAAAGAATATCAGGGGAATGGAAGGGGGGAACAGACTTCCCCCAGACTCTCTTCGTACTAAAATATCCCAAGTTTGCTGTCTCAGATCCAGGTAGTACAGAGAAAAGATTTGAGGTTCTACACCCACTTGTGCACAGAGATGAGACAGTTACCCAACTGGCTATGAGGGTGGCTTCAGACAGAGGGTTATTTTCCTCGAAGTATCATAATGAGATAATGATTAACCAATATAGACATACGATGAGCACCACCACAAATACTATACCATACTGGAGTGGGTGTGTGTTTGAAATTGGGCAAAATATGATTTTTAGAAAACAATAATCTCATAGCTTTAGAAAGACTAGCATGTACTCTTTTTCCCAGTCAACACTGATGCTTTGGTAAGACAAGGGATTCCCTTTACCTACATCTAGATTACATGGCATTTTCACATGGTATTGGTTTATTAATCCTTGTCAACTTTCAGTGCTATCCTATTATCCTTCCTTTTCTTGAGAACTATTACAGCAACTCTTCTTAGATGATTGCTACTAAATCTGCAACACTCAGCACTGCTCACATACAGGAAAGAGAAGTACCTTTGCTAAAGCCTTGGTCCTGCAACTGCAATCTCATCACTTCCTTCCCTGCAAGTGTTACATGTTCTCCTGCTACATATCTCACTCCTTTGTATTGCTCCCATTGCAACCCCAAAGGGCAAAAGTTACACTGGATTTACAACCCAACAAACAAAACACCCTGGGAGGCAGATAATCTGTGCAAAGTAAACGATTCTTGTGGTATCAGAGAGAGAGAGAGACCGAGAGAGAAAGGAGATTCTACAAAGTTTAGGCTCTGCATAGAGACAAACCAGCTGGCAATGACCTACCTCTGGCTTGAAAGTGAAAGTCTGAGAAGCTTGCTTCAAAATTTCCACTGCTTCACTGTAGGAAATGCTGCAAGAGGAAGAAAAAAGTCTTTAAGATAACTATGAAAGGAACAACAAAGTTTTCTGGCTAAGTGCCATGCTGGAAAATTAAGGAGGCATTTCCCCACCACCATGCCAACTTGTGTGTAATGTCAGACTTCCAAGCAATGCTTCTTTGGACAGAAACCAAAAAGCATTTAATATGGCAAGAATCCTATGTTTTCCTGTGCTTCAGCTACATGCAGTGCAGGAAGTGCTAAGCTCTCAACACTTCTGCATTATTGCAATATTGCATTTTAGTCATAAGTGAGCTCTGCAGGGAATTGCTTCATAGAAATGGGTGGATTTTTTTAAAGAAAACAATATGTCCTCATCAGCATAGCTACAATAACACAGCTCTAGTCCAGGGTGTGTTAGGCAAAAATAACAGCTCAGAGTGCAAAGGGCTTGTAGCTCAAATGTTTCCACTTTACTTAAAAAACCATGAGATTTACGTGCAGCAATGTTTCTGTACTTCTCTGGCACATTTGAGAGCAGATTCTCCACCAATTTCCACCAGCACAAAAGAACAGCATAATGGTAAAGCAAACAGAAAAAGTGCAGTGAACAATGCTCCAGGTTTGGTAACTGGAAATCAAGATTCAATGGAAGATAACGTGGCAGCCAAATTTTTCACGTACCAAGCAAAATATTGTGGACAGAGAGAAGAAAAGAATAACATTATCATAATAATTTCATCTTTGTGTCACTAGCTAATCCAATTAAAAACTGAATTCCATAAAGAACACAAGCTCTTCATACCCCTTTACAAAGTTTCACTAAAACAAGGAAGGCTTCTGGAGGAAATACCTCAAGAAGGAATATATTGCTCCACATGTTTGGGTTATGTGAGGCCACAAACCAAATGAGGTGTATCACTGGCACAGGTTCAACACATGTAACCAATGTGTGTAAGCCAGGAATGGCCCAGATCTGCCAGCAGGTGATGGAGAGAGAGACAGAGAGGGGGAAAGAGATGGTCTGTCTCTCTCCTTTTCCTTGGAGCATGGGAGAAGCTGAGCACAACTTTGTCCTTTCAGGAGTACCAGTTCCTAAGAGAGGACTGAAATGGGGAGATTCTAACTTCACTGAGGACTCCCATGGTGCTCCTGCAGGCAGAGGCACAGCAGGGATCCGTCATGATCCTGTTGCCCAGGTGTGGCTGTAGCTGCCTAACAAGATAACCAGTGCTGGGATGAGAAACCCTACAGTGTTCTGTGGGATAAATGGAGAGCTCCACCATTTGAAGAGACAAGCAGGAGTAGGGAGGAGGTGGCACTCTCAGAGGGCAGCGAGGGAAACCCAAAGCCTTCAGCTCTTTAGCACAAAGAGATCTGGGATTAGAAGCTACACAATCAATTGGGAATAGAAAACCAATTGGGATTGTTAAATATCATAAAATACTTTCATAAAAAGAGAGCCACTGGAGTGAAAGTGTGAATGAAAGCAGAGCATCAAAGCCAAAACCAAGCAAGACCATGAGCAACCACTGTGCACGTACATGCTGGAAGGAGAATACTTTTAAGGATCTTGTCCAGGGGAGCAAAAGCCAAAGGCCACCAGATTCAGGTGTCAGTCTCATGCAGAGCTGAAAGGGCATAGCTGACAAACAGTAAAAGGGAACTGCAACTCATTCCCCTTTGAAGACTTTATGCTAACCCAGAAGACATTAAGTTGTGAAAGAAAAAGAACATAGGAAACTCTTTCCCCAAAAGCCCTCTGCAAGATCATTTTGAAATAGTACTTACATCATAAATTTGTGCTTCAGTATTTGTTCCAACCTGCCCTTGGTCAAAACAAGAAAACATAAACATGTAAAGCTACCCTTTACAGTTCAGGGGCAAACTCAGGAAAGTGACCTTCCTCTATACTGTAATTTGTAGGACTGCATTTTGATCTAGATACAGGTCAAAATCCACTCCTGGCCATTCACTGCTAAAAGGGTACCCAATTATTGAAGCTGATGACTCAGAGGCTACCAGATGAAGTGACAACTACAGTTCTATGACCACTGCTACCAGCCACACAAAATTGTGTTTTCTCTCTCTGTGACTTGAACAATCACTCAAGCTCAAGCTGATATTTTGCTTTTCACAGTTTCTTAACACAGGACAACACAGTAAAGAAAAGAAAATTTAAAAAAATTAATCCTTCCTATAGCAAAGAACCCCCAAAACACGTGACAGGATTGCAGTTCTTTCCTGTCACATGCATTACCTTCTGTGCAGGAGCTATGTATTTATGAAAAAGCTCAACATCACGAGGACATTTGGAGAGCACAGTGCTTGTCACTGTCTTGAAAAGATCTTCCATAACCTAATAGAGAAAAAAGGAATGCATGAAAAATGAACATTGCTTAGGTGTCCCAGACTATGAATGAAACAAAGTACACATCAGCCCAATGGTACAGAAGGAGTTTCTATCCTTCTGCATGGCCAGACTCCATAAGAGGGAACCACCTCACTAATACTCGTCATTAGCAGGTTTGCTTAGTAACTGAAAAGGACTGGAACTTTCATTTTTGCTATGGGTTTAGGGCTTCAATGTTGGCTGATGGAGTCAGTATCTTCAGTCAGGTATCTCCAGTGAAAAAAATCACAGCTAAAATATTCAAGCAGCAACCCTGGCTAGCCACAAATATGTTACAACCATTTGTGAGTCTGGTCCCAGATTCTTAGAGAGGCATGTGCCCTGCAATGAACAATTCCAGACTTATGATTTGTTGTTAGAAAAGGCAAAACTGAAGGAAAGAGAATAAACATGCAGTGTGTAGAGCAAGTTTATCAAACAGATGTCAGCTAGAGAGACTCTCTGCAGTAAGAGAAAAGTGAACATGAGATGAGTAGAGAGCTAAAGCAAAGGACACATCAATGCAGGGATGTTTGAGAAAGTAAAAAGATGTGGCTCCATTTCCCTAAACGAATGTGGATTAACTAAATGACATTATCATCCAATTTGAATATACTTATCCAGTAAAATGGGCTTCACTCATTAAGAAATTAAAATGCCATTAAAAGCCCTCACATGGGATGCTGCTGCATTTTCATCAACCTGTTTTAAGAGTCACTTTCTCTTTTGGTTAAGCAAAGCAGACCATCCAAGACACTTGCTGTTGTGCAGACTGAGTTCCCATGGCTCCCTTTAGTCTTACACCAGCACAAAGCATGTAGTTGACACCTGTGGTATCAACTGATCATCCATCCCACCTCTTATTCAAAATCACCCTCCTATTGTCATTTTCTTTGTCAAAACAGAGCAATGCAGCTGGGGCTGCATGTCATCTCAGCTTGGGATGGGACAGGATTTTTCCTAACAAAGCACATCTCAAAGTACTGGCACATTCCTGGTTGGTTGTGGATTTTTGGGGATTTTTTGTTGATGTTGTTTTTTTGTTTTGTTGTTTGGTTGTTGTTTTTTTTTTTTGTGAGTGTAACAACTACTTCATTAATTGCAGAGTTGAGAGAACTGAAGTTTCCATTAATGGGATGGTACCTAGGTGAGCAGCAGCCCCTAGACACCACAAAGCCTGTGACCGTAGAAAGATGAACCTGTGGAAAGATCAGTCAGCAGATCTCAAGAACTCAAGAAGAAGCAGTAGGTCTATGCCTTACAAGGAACCAGCTCTTACTGGGTAAGAGGAACACAAGGCACAGAAACAAAGCAACTGGGCTACTGACATAGCCAAAATGAGATTTCAGCATGTGGTTCAAACTTATGCTTAGATGAACATCCTTCACAGCTGCCCCAAGCTGCTGAAGCACTGCTCTGTGCTGGTGAACAACCTCTGCATCCCACCAGCCTAGTGGAGCTGGTAAAGCAGTCCATTTGGACTGCTCTGAGCCAAACTCGGACTCAAGACTCCTGCACCAACCTGGGCTCTCCTTTAAAAAAAAAGGGAAGATGCAAATAAGGGAACAGCATTATCATATGCAGACGAACAGTTTTACGCCTCCTGGTACTCAAACACAGAGGAAATGAAAAGCCAGCATTCCTGCTGCTGCGTGGCAAATAACCAAACAGTCAGCTTTGAACTTTCTTCAAAGTAGCTAGAAAAAGGCTTATGTAAATGAAATTAGAAAACTTCTTAGCAATTCATCGGGTTTCACCAGGCAGAGACGAAGGGATTTTACATTAAGCTTCCTCTTTCTAGAAAATGAAAGTATCATCTGGTTTTGGAAAGGCATGTTGTTTAATTAGCACTTTTTTTCCTCACTGTGCGATAAAGTAACAATTAGGTTCCCACAGCATTCAACATAAGCAGCTTCCTCTTGTGGAAAAAAGATGTGGGTGGTATGGGAAAAACAATCTGAGAAATATTTCCAGGTTTGAGACTGAGGTTTTATCCTGGCAAAAAAGACAGACACATGGGTCATACACTGCCCTCCTCACTGCTCTTATTTATGCCAAACAAGTACTAGGCACAAACAGTAGATGTAAAAAAAAAAAAAAAAAAGGAAAAAATCTCTCAAACTGAGAATTTATGTCTTTAAGCAGATAGCATAATGAAGGACTGCAAAGTAGGCATAGGAAAAATGAGTGGAGAAGTGTAATCACTGTCTTGCTGGCTTAAGGGAACACATGAGCAAGAGATATAGGTGAAGTGATTAGTTTGAACATATTCTGAAAGAAACACGTTTGACAGGAGACTTACATAGGGGAAAAAAGGTACTGGAATCACAGCAAGTAGCTCATCTCAAAGGTGGGACTCTGGATGTCCCAAAAGCCCAATAATGTGGTTGCTTCACAATGGTGGTGTGGAAACTGTGCTGGCAGGGGGGCAAGCAAGGAGGACAGAAGTTAAAGCTTCCTCCCTTCCCTGAACCCTTTTAGCCTTTCTCTTTTGATTTTCATGTTTGAAACTTCTGCAGTATCAACACTGGCCTTCCCCAATGTTGCTCTGTTGTTTAATGGTTAACAGTTCAATTTTGATTAGGAGCAGCTCTCAAGGGTATTGCTCAATTTTACCCTGGATCTTTTGATACTGCAACTTATCCTCTTCCCAAATAGAGTTTCAACCAGAGTTGAAACAGAGCAGATCGTTAAGAAAACAGCAGTAAAAGTCAGCAGCAGCAATTGAAGGTGCTGTGCACTCCAAGAAAGGTTCAAATCGTCATTTTTATTACGCAAGAAAGATTACATAAGAAAAATCACATGACCTGCCAGTAGGATTTTCATGTATGTATTTACCTGGGCCATGCATGTGGATGCAGTGTAGATCACAGGCTCCTTACATATGAAACACTCACCACTGCTGGTGGTGGACCAACAGTGGACCACTGTTGTTGCCTCCACACATGCTCACACCCACTCTATGTGTGCACATACACACAGAGGGGAGGATTCACATCTGACCTTTGTCATAAAATCTCCTCTCTCAGCAATACCAACAGCTCAGGCCCTATTTTGGAGAGATGCTGTTGCTGTGCAAGGAAAGAGGCTTGTCTGCCAGACCACTGCTCCACTGGCCACTGAAGCTGAATGCTGATAAAAGTTAGGGAAGAGAACAAGCCTGAGCTATGGCAGCTGGATGCCACTTCAGACAAGGAACCTACAGTCCTGCAGATAGCCCAATGTCCCTAAACTCTTAGAACAAACCCTTGTCATGTGATTACCAGTGTTTGCTCCCTCAAGACTGCAGTCACACCTGCCCAAGTGCCTCAGACTTGGTACTGAAGACAGAATGCTGAGTGAAAACTAGTCTGGAAATCAAATCACATACATGTTTTAGATCCAAGCTCTCTAAAGCTGACACCCAGAATTGGTACCTGATTTCATTTCATGCCTGAACTCCCCTCTGTAAAATGGAGATAAAAATGCTCCATGTCACTAGGCTGTAATGACAGCAAATTAATTTTGATGAAGTACATAACCAGTGGAAGACAATACTCCTGCCCTCAGGACACAGCTGAAATACTGAGTGTTAAATTGTATGCCCCATCTTAAAGAGAAATATTCTCCATCCCTTAAAGAGACAGTAGTGCTAGGATATAATCTTGTTAAGGAAGACTAACACAATGCATAAACTGACAATGCCCTCAGGAAAACTTCCTTCTTATATTTCCTAACTTTATAGCCTAAATAATGCCTTTTTTAGCATGGCTTTATATGTGCTTTTGATGAAATTCAGTAATGACTGTACCATATGGACTCTCTGAGACTCCATTAGTGTCATGAGCGAAGTGGGATCCTTTAAATATACTGCACTGCTGATACAGTGGAATGAAAAATACAAGATAATGGCCTACAAACACAACTACATGACACAGCATTGAAGAGAGAGGGAGCGACTGATAACAGGCATCTCAGAGGACAAATAAAACTGGAGACCTTGGACCACCAATTCAGGTACTGGGGGGCTGATGGCTCCAGACACTTCCACAACTGTACCTCTTCTCCTGTCTATCTGACCTTTTTCTAAATCCTTTTCTTTCTCATGCATTTTGGAGGAGAAAAGAGGTCCCTCCTTAGATATCCTTACATGTACCCTGCACACTAAAGCCGAAACACTATCACCCACCCATGCAGTGTGAAGTACTGCACTGAGCACATGGGACTTTCCACAGAAAGTATTGTGAAACCAGTACAGTGAGAGTTGAAGCTTCTTTGTAGCACTAAAACACATTTTGGCACAGAACAGAAATTTAGATTGCATGATTAAGACACATGAGACTTCACAAGAACTGTGCTACTAATTTAGGAATAACTGAGCACTACTCTGTGCAATTACAGTGGGGGAAAAAAAGGCTGCTGCTCTAAGACTTCAGGCCCTTTGTTCCCAAATACATGTAGCTTGGTTATTAAATCTCCGTTTTTCCTTTTGTTTCATAATGAAAACTACGTTTCTTTTGGAGCTTTGGCTGAAAGATCTCAAGCCTCGCCAGTGAATGGTAAACACACACATCTTTGTAGCAAGGCTCTTTAATGGTGTATGAGCAAATACTTCAAGATGTCCCTGAAGAAGCTGAGCATTCCCAGCACAGTAACTTGCTCAAGTGACAGATACTTAGTCCAAATGTCCAATAGCAATCTTAAAAATAAATTTTTAACAATCCAGCTCTTTATGTGAGGACAAAGTTCAGATAATAACCCTGGCCAAAAGCCCCGAAGGCTTTCAACTGGGTGTTTTTCACTGAATAAAGAACTTGCAGATGACAACAAACAGACAAAATACCCGATGGGCAGATATGTAAGAGAACACTGAATTTAGGTCAGTTACACCAGGAGAGACACTCAGGCTTTAGAGCAGCTAGCAGGGTTTTCTGTTGATTGGGTTTTTAGTTTGTTTTGTTGTACGAGAGATTGCTCAATAGTTTAAAAATAAACTAAGTGGGAACTCCACTTCCCCAAGTAAGAACACCACAAAATTAAGCCTGTTGCAATACATACTCACTATGAGGAATGCAAACTAATGGCTGCTAGGAGACTTTCTGTTATAGGGAAAGGTGCTTGTCAAAGACTTTGGGGAGATTTAAAGAGAGCACAAGCTGAGACTTCACAAGATAATCAGCATCAACAAACACAAAACTGAGGGAAAGTTACTCCTTTCCCTGCAAATAAAAGTCTTACAAATTCCAGAATAGTTCTCAAATCTAATTCTCTGAATTGTCTGAACTGTCTGTCTGTACTTCAAAACGCAGGAAATTAGGGTTTTCTGCACTAGGTATGTTGATTATGTGTTGAAGGGCTCAAACACCACTTAAGAGAAGACCCTGCTTATTACACTAGATAAAATAGTGAAGATTTCCATTGGCTCTTGATTACCTAGAGAAACAAGGGGACTCTGGAATTACAGTGTGTACATATACACAGGCTGTGCTCTAAGAATGCACAAAGCTGTGGAGAAAAGGAGAGACAAAAGAAAGAGCAGGATGCTATTCATGATGGAGCACAGACTCCCAATGGAGCCCAGTGCCATGCAGACATCCCAGATTCAGAAGCAGCACACAGAGCATGCCAGCTGTGCTCTCAGGCCATGCTGGCTCAGCACTCTTTATGACCCATGCTGAAGAAACCACCACTTAGATGTTATTTTATAAATCTGCAGCCAGTGCCTCAGGTATTTTTCTTTATAAGGTTATTTTTTCAATCACTTTCCACAGAGCTTATCTGATAAATGAGAGTGTGTGTGTATGTTTACATACAAGTCCTACTGGGTATAAGCTGGCTTATGCTGAGACTAGTGAGGTGTATAGGCATCCATCATGTGGTTAAACTGCAACTGAGAAGTCAATCCTGAAAAATCAAAAGGCAGCTGACTAAGGATTTCCTCCAGTCTTCTGCTAAAGACACAGTGAACATTTTATACCAGAAACTGTTGTTTCTTCTTCAGATTTCAATGCAGATTTCAAGGAGGCCTTTGCAAAGCACACTGCTTAAACACTGCTCACTCAGTGGAAAGGTGCTGAACATTTTGAAAAGGAGAGTGCCACTCATTAGCACTAGTCAAGAACATTTATGTTCCCTGGCAATACAGCAACTGTGGAGCTTCCTACCAGATGAGGGCTGTGTTCACCTATATCCTCCCTTCCAAATCCTCTCTATGTCCTTATCTCTGCTGAGCAAACCCTCCTCCTTGGGAAATACCTGTGCAACCTCTACTTGGTTCACAAAGGGTGAGGGGAGCTGTGACTTCAGCTGAAGGCAGGGAGCACAGGAGGAAGAAACTCTGGTACCAGTCCTGCACCAGACATTTGGAGTGCCCACCTGCATGATGTCCTGAAGGCTTTCAGTGAAGGACAGCTCAGCCTCCACCATGTAGAACTCCGCCAGGTGCCGGCGACTCTGCGAGTTTTCCGCTCGGAACGTCGGGCCAAAGGTGAACACGTGAGTAAAAGCCCTGCAAGGCAGCAGGAAACAGGCAGGTCAGGTCCAGCACACAACTGGGTCTGTTACACCTAAAGCCCTCACTTTTCTCCCAGCACCTAGAAACAATCATGTTTTCATTTCATCTCTGACCAGTTTAATGGCACTGCTGAATAAGCTGCTGTTATGTTCCTTCATCCAGGCGTGGAGAGAGGTTATTCACACCTTGTGACTCAAGAGATGTTGCACACACACACTAGTCAGCTTTCTCTGAACACAAGTCATGCTCAGGACACTTTTTGTAACTGTGTGGGAATAAAGCCCAACATTCTGCACAGCCAGATAACTAAAGAAGCATGCAGGTACTATAACAATCATGCTATCCTCATCCACATGACTTCGCCTGCAATGCCTAACCTTTACAGCTGCTGTGAGACCCCAGTGCTCACCAGAGCAGAGTGGGCCGTGCTGCTGGAGCTGGTGGGCACTGAGGGGTGGCCAATGAAGCCCAGCAGGACCAGAGGTGTATGGCGTGCAGTCCCCCTCTAGCGGTAAGACAGAAGTTCATTGCTCAGAGAGCCATGGAGATAAAGAACTGGGCACTTCCACATAGCTAAAAATGGCTCAGCTGAGAGGGGTCCCTACTGCAGAGAACACATGGGGAGAGCATTTAATGCTGAAGCAACCAATGTATTTCCTATTATGAAGCCATTTCTCCAACCACCTTCTGGGGATTCTATTTAAATACATCCTCTCTTGTTCTGCAGTCATGACATGCTGTGTTTCCACTTCCTCCTTGAGAAACCTTCCTATCAAACACACCTTTAAAAGCTTTGACTTTATGTGGGAAGCTGCACTCCAAGCAATACCTTTTACACTGTGATCTATAAGCACTTGAGCTCCTGGACACCCTCAAGCTAGTGAGAGCTTCCCAAATACATGCCGTAACATTTGTGCTTCCTCTCATGCGGCATGGGAAGAAAAACTGTGACTGGGGAAGGGAGCAAGCTGCTTCAGAAAAACCATGAACTGGGCAGCTGCTAACTTTGGTACATCTTTAACTTAATGTTATTTTTGGCTGCAGACAGCATGTAGGAGAAAAAGAACCTGATCAGTAGAGATTAAGCACAGTTTGACATTCATGAAAGGATGCATGCTAATTGCTGGGGCTGGCATTTGACTTGCATCTTGCTCTGCAAGCTTTCAACTTAAAAAGGACATTCACTGAAGTTTTTGAACAGGCTAATTTTGTTAAATTGAAGTTCAAATAAACAACACTACAAAAAGCAGTATTTTTCCTTTGCCCCTTATGGAGACATCTGTGCTACAAATAAAGGAACACACACATTCTGCTTCACTCATCTGTTCCCTCATGTCACATGTTGATTAAAGGTTATGATCCAAAGAAACAGCACTTTCTTTTTCCTTGAGTTGCTAGTAGTAAACACATCAGAAGTTTCATGTCAAGACTCTGAATACATAGCCTGCCTGTAAGTTTCTTTTCCCCATGGCTCTGTTTTCCCTCCCCCAAAAAACACATTTTCCATCTCCACTTTGCTCTTGTATCTGTACTCTCTCATATATGACCACAGCATCAACAAGCATCTAACTAGATTTTGCAGCAAACATCTTCCTTCAAGCATCATTTTTAGCATGCCACTATTCCCTCTGCTTCATTTCTCACTTGCTGAAATGTTACTGTAAACTTCTGTTACTCCATCATTCTCCTTCAAACTGCCCTTTGCTGTAGCATCTACAAAACCTCAGCAATGTTTAGATAAGTGATGTACCAAGACTATTACTCACTGCACAGGTCATTCACTATTATTTCATCAGTTCCTTGTGATCCCCCATCTGTAGCCACCTGTTGTCTTGAGTTATGCAGAAATTCACGGTCTCTCACATGGCCTTTTTGGTTTGTTTTATTCCCATGCTCCTAACAGCACCTGGCACAACAAGGTCTCGGATCCAAAGTTTAAGAGCCTCAACTGCTATAGCAATACAAACAACAAATACAAAACAGTGAGTCACACAGTCAAAATCCTCTTATGTTTAAGGCAGAACCAGTCAAAAGTTTTTGTTTGCCAGGTTGTGGAGGTTGGCCTGCAGTGGGAAACAGAGTTAGGTTCTTGTTCTACCTGCTCCCACGTATCACAGTTTTGCTAAAATATTTCAATTTTAGGCCCTTCAGTTAAAGAAAGAATTTTTCCTAAACAAATGAGTTTAGTTACAAGTTCTGTTTGTGACTGAGCCAGGATCAGACACAAGATGAAAATATTGTGAAAAGCTTACAACTGCTCTAAGTACTCATTCAGGTCTGCTCAGTATGATGTGCAGGTCTCTAATGTCTTGCTGACATAAAGGCCTCAAAGTAACACTGAAAACTAAAGTGTGCCACTAGCTGGCCAGCATGAGATCCTTTCCCACAGAGCAACAGCCTGGCTTCAGGGAGAAACATTTCCCAGCAGTGCCACACACAGGCACTGACACTTCAGTTACTGTAGGTTACTGGGGCAGGACAGACTCCAGCAACGCAGGCAACTAAGAGCACTTTGAACTGCACTTACTTCCTACTGATCAGCAGCCCAAGCATGATGACTAATTAGTCATCTTCCAAGGCTTACTGCCTGCAAGATACCTAAAAGTAACCAAAAATAAAAAAAACCCCACCCTCTTTTTTCTCCAAGATGTCAGCCATGGCCAAACACTTCACAGTCAGAGATCAATTTTGTACTGCAAGAATAAAGCCTCTCTGTGCCCAAGACAGCTTTTGGGAAGGGCAAGTGCAGAACCACTCCCACAGGAACCAATTTATGTCTTTCCTCAGCTCTAGGCACTTGTACACAGAGAACCACCTATGTTTACAAAACAAGCCATTACCACTGTGACTCTATGGACTTCCCCAAGGTGACAGTAAGGGCCTTGTGATAGCCTGTAGAACTTAACATAACTGGTGTGGGGATGAATTTGACTGACCCTTGAAAAAAGGGAAAAACAACACTCACCCCTAGCCCCCCTCCCCATCAAATTAACCCCCATCTGCAGAGAGGGGAGGAATCATTCTTTTCTCAGGCTAACTGTAAAGGGAAAAGACAGATACGAGTAACTGTGAGAACTTCCCCAGGATCTTGGGACCCTGGCAAAGGGAAACTAGCCAGATGTCACGCTGGCAAAGCGATCAAAGGAGTGCAGTAAATGCAAGTCATCTGGTAACAGCAATGTAGGACTGACCAGAGGCCTGCACATAACAGAGAAACACAGCTGAAAGTACATATAGTCACTGTTATCATCTCTGTGCATGAACAATTATTTTCCATCCAGGCATTTATATACTGTTTACTGTGCCCTGCCATTCAAGATGTTAAACAAATGCTGACTATACAAATCAAGTCTTCATTTGTACTTCATCTGCTATAAAAAACATATCTGTGATTTGTTACTGCTGTATCACACTGAACATGCACAGATATATCAGAAAAGAGGGATGGGAGTTGACTCTGTTCTGATTTCATGGTACTGAGAGCAAACCCAGTAATTTTGCTCTGTGTGCATTCAGCACCTAGCACAATGGAGCCTCAGTGCAGGGCTGTGACTCCTATGCTCTATGATGCAAATAATCAATCATTTAACATTCCCAGACCTCTACAAGACTTCCAGCGTTTAAAAATAACTTGAAAATTCTGTCTAAGTCTCAAAAAGTGCCTAGGTCAGTTTGGGTTGTGGGCACTCTTAAAAAAAAAAAATCAGTAGTGCTAATTCCTCATCTCCAACAAAAGCATACACACAGGAGAGGAAAAAAAAGCCCACTAATCTGTTGAGCATTTTTCCCTAGCCATTACAGGCAGAGCAGTAATGTCTGTAACACTCTCCTTGTACGTGCTACCAAAGAATACAAGGGAGGCTTTGAAACAAGTCCTTTTGCAGTCAGCTTTGCCCAGATCAGAGCTCTGGACAGCAAGCCTGAGTGCATTTATGCAGTTCACAGGCACTGCCGGGGTCGACACCACAAGAAGGCACAGAGCTGCTTAATTAATTGCTCCCTTTCTGTGACTGTATTTTGCTCTGCCCAGTTCTCTGGGAAAATCTGAGAGCTTAATGTGGAGGCCAAGAGAATACCCACAGTACTCCTTCCAACACACTGAAATGCATCAAAAGCCAGGGCCCCATCCTGCAAAATGCTGAGCTTTCTCACCCCAGCCCAGTGAAGGGCCCAGCCACTTTTAGCTACAGGCTCCCAGGAGTTCTTTTGGACACCAAAGCAGTACCTGAAGTTGCTGGGACAGAGCCATCCTCTGCATGGATGGGGAAGGCTCACTGCTGCACAGGCCACACCTGTGTTCTCCGCCCTATGAACAGCCAGGAAGGGAGAAACTTCCCCCCTTCCACCTTTATTTCGCACACCGTTAAAACAGTCTCCAGAAACAGCCACCTTTGGGAGCTTTCTGCCACGCGGAATGTAAGCTCATTTCGTTTGAGTTCATTGACATTTCATTACAGAGGAAGTGAGAGGAACCAATAGAGAAGTAATAAGTATCCGTACCCAAAGCTGCTTCAAATCATTCTTTTAATTAAACTCATGCAATGTTTGTAGGCCTCAGCGTCTCTGCCTTACTGGCAACTTTTATGGTGCAATCCAAATAGAATTAATTGTGCTGATGGTTCCCAAGCCAGGAATGGATTGTGCTCCTTTTCTGAGCCAGAACTCCACACTGCTACCGAGGTAATAAAGACTTATTTGTGCTGTCGAACCAAGGGCATATAACTCTGAACAAGGCTATTAATCAAGAAGATGCAATCCCTGCACAGTCAGCTTACAACCAATGCCAAGGTCACACCACACAGTAGTGACACAGCTGGAGGCAGAAGCTGGTTGCTGTGACTCAGGGCTAAGCACTAAACCACACCAGTACACACAGGGAGCAAAGATGTTTCTCAAAACTTCATCACCCCAGTGATTTCTACTGCAAGCCACAAAAATACACTATCAACATGGCAGAGGGGGAACAATTCATTTTCATGGTGCCCTTGCTGTCC